CATTACGTGGAACTCCTAGCAGGTCGCTCGACAGCAGCCAGTGCCGATGCACGGTACGTGCGTTGACTCACAGCGTCCAGAGCGCATCGGGTCGTGGTATGGTGCGTATCCTTTGCACCTATACCAGTGTCTGTCACAGACACCATGTACCTTGATGATACTCGACCGTGGTGGGGCATATCTCACCACCATGCCACTGCGGCGTTGGTGTCTGGCATTGACACCGAGTACTCACGGGTATTAACCCATGGTGAGGCAAGCTGCCATCACCGCGGTGTCATGCTCGGTGCGGCACCAGTTACGACTGCGTGCCTTGCCTCGACCACCACCTGGTCAGTTGTGTGTGCACTCGTGCACCACACTTGGGTAATGGCTCCACGGCCCATTATACCCAGCGCGTTGCGTACATCACGTACCGCAACCGCTTTGTCGGCGGGTGAGACGTTCCGTTCACCCTACTCGACAGGTCGTTCATGACCAAGGGTCCAGTGCGTTGATTGCACTAGGCCCGCGCTTCGCCTCGTGTGTGGTTGCTTGCAACCTCAACACTGCTGATTCGCTCAGCGATTCCGAGGCACCTTGCGCCCGTGGCTTTCTTCGCCACTATGTCTTGTTCGGCTAGAGCTACCGCAGCTCTAGCCCGGCTGTTTGCCTCCAGCCTGCAGTCGATGTACATCGACGCCTGGGTTCCGTAAAAAACTTGGTCTTACCTCAAGACCAGGGAGGAAAGGTATTTCCGAGCCTCTCCCCCACTTACACTCGAGACTATTGAGTCTCTCGTGGCTTGTGATAGCCACTCGCAGCCCGACGGCTACCAGCCTCTTGGAAAGTCAGGGAGGAAAGGTATTTCCGAGCCTCTCCCCTCACTTAACCTCGAGACTACTGAGTCTCTCGTGGCTTCTAATAGCCACTGGCAGGCGCAACGGCTCTCCGCCATGTGCACTGCGTCGGTATGGTCGACCGCGTCGACTGAAGGCATTCAGCCTTCGCGTCAGCAGTTTGAGTCTGCGCGACTTGACGTCGAGCGAGTTGCTCACGTCTGGCGAGGCCAAGACAACCTTGCGCCTCGAGCCAATGGCTCTGTGTGCGGCGCTATGTTACTCGCCTTGGGTGTGGAACTCTGTTACCCACCTTGGTTGTGAGGAACTCTGTTACCCACACCGGAAGCGCATACAGCGACTTCCTTATCAGTTATGGTTTGAGTGACCTTGCGTGGAACTTTGTTACCCACGCTCGGAGCACCGAATGGCGGTCTCCTTAAGCAGCTTCGCTGCTTGCGGAACTTGTTACCCGCAGTGTGGACCTATGTTACCCACCTGGTGAATGCCCTTCGGCATCACCACTGTCGAAGCGCATACGGCGCGACGACCTTCGGTGTTGGGATCGGCTGGTGTGGCAGACCCGCCCACACACCGGACAGAGTTGGTGTCCACCGACCGAGTCAGAGGAGTCCGGGCCCTGGACTCCGAGTCGCTTGAAGCGACGTCGGCCTGAACAAGGTTCAGACCCGACTTGCGGCGGCTGACGTGACGTGGCACTTCGTTTCCCACGTCGTGATGTCTCGTTGACGACATCAGAGGCACTCGAGACCTCATGTGGCACTGTGTTACCCACACAGGAAGCATGGACAATGCATTCCTCTTCAGTTATAGTCTGGGCGACCGCGTGTGGTACTGTGTTACCCACACAGGAAGCATGGTCATGCCTTCCTCTTCAGTTATAGTCTGGGCGACTGCGTGTGGTACTGTGTTATCCACACAGGAAGCGCATTCAGCGCCATCCTCTTCAGTTAAGGTCTGGGCGACCGTGTGGTCCTGAGTTACCCACCTGGTTAGCGCTTAAAGGCATAACCACTGTCGAAGCCCGTACGGCGCGACGACCTTCGGCGTTGGACGCTGCTGGTGTACCAGGTCCACACGCCGGGCAAAGACCCACGCCCGTGGCATTGCCGCAGCGGAGCATGGTCTTGCTGTACGTAGAGCTGTCGGCGCGTTGACAACTCCGTGACGCTTCTGCGTCCTGGCGGTCTGTATCAGACGCCCCAGTCATGACGGAGGTGGGAATATGACTTACCAATGCTCCGTCATAGACCTGGACTGGTAGGCCCTTCTCAGCCTTGCCACACCAAAGTCCGGGCTGTGCCTTATGTTCGGCACAGCCATGTTGTTCATGGCGAGAGCTGCAAGCGACACCGCGGTGCGCGAGTTCATCGAGCCGAAACGTTCAGGTCCGTTGAGGACCATTGGTACTTCCTTCACCGTACCAAAGGCTAATCGACCGAGGACCAGCCCACGACCGCCACTCTGACATAGAGTGCAGTCGGATGTCGCTATGCCAAGCGACGTTTCGGCGGCGTATCAACGCCCCAGAACTCATCAAACGATCAAGGGGTACCGTACCCCCGTACACCGAGTGTACTACCAGCAGCCCATCACTGCCCTTCACCGGTTTGAGAGAACCACGTCTCTCTGGGCTAAGTCCCGTGGTGCGCACAGCCTGCACACCCATCACGAAGGCTTAGCGCTCTTCAGTAGGGCATACTGCTCCTACTGTGGCCCGGGAGTCTCGTCCACCTGGACGTGACCTGCGCACCGGACTTGGGGCCCACGGGCCGTCTTCTTCCGATGACTAGCGAGGGACACACACGCTGGTAGTGTCCATGTCCGCCGCATCCATAGCAGCGGACCAAGCTCTCGGCTGAGCTTAAGTCCATGGGCACGGGCTCGCGGTACGCACCGGTATCAACGGGATGCGTGACAGCAGGAGCGATGCTCCGCCTCCCGAGGAACGCCATTCTCATCGTGGCGATGTTCCTCTTCCCGAAGAGTACCAGCCTGCTTGTGGCTGTACTCTTCTTGGAGGGCGATTCGAATCGCCTCCTCCATAGTTGTTGCTTGCACCCGGAATAGCTGGGTGCGAGCAGGACCGACCTTCAGGCCGTACATGAAGACTGTTGTCTTAATGTCTTCAGGCAGAAGATTCCCTGCCAGAGATGCCACCAGCGTGCGCATCTCTTGCGCGTACTCCTGCAGCTCACGTTTACCTTGCGAGAAAGCGTGAGCGCTGGCGGAACTTGTTGTTCGCCGGTAGGAGCGCGGCTCGAAGCTGCTCACACAGCTGAGCCCAGGATGCAAAGCATCCAGGAGACGTCGTCTCCCTGGTGTATGCCCAGTGCTTGGCACGTCCACCAAGGTTGGACAGGGCAAACGCCACCCGAACTGGCTCGTCCGAGATGAGACCCGCCTTCATGGCGATCTCCACCTCACGGACCCAGAAGTGAAGGTTCTCTCCTTCCTTCCCCTCAAACGCGGGGACCTTCAGCCACACCGGCTTAAGCCTGGTTGCCTGGGGAGCGGCCATAGTGACCTCCAAGCTCCCGCGGACGTGAGCAATGAGACCACGCTCGTAGGTCTCAAACGCGGTCACGCGTTCTTGTTGCTCGGCAGGCGTCGTCGCCGCCAAGCTGCGAAGGACATCTTGTCCAAAGATGCCTCCCATCTTCCAAACAGACACGTACTGTGAGTCGTTCAAGCGAGGAAACTCGCTTCGGTCCATCTTGGCTCAAACGTTGAGCGCACAGAGGATTCAGGTAGCTCAATCTACCCGCGATGGTGTTGGATTGACTACGAGTGCTACCAAGTGTGACGGGGTCACACAGCACCTTGCACAGAGGAAGTGCTTAAGGGTATTAACTACCCGAGTGAGCGTAAGTCCACGTGTTCCCGGCCTCAGTGGGAACGATTTGCTACTTAGAGGAGTAGATTTAAGACTGATGTATTTATAAGTAAGATAAGCTTGGGTCTCATACAAACTAGAGGTTACCTATAGTGGAGCTAAGTAGTCATGCACTGACTGGCTCCAAAAGCACCTGGTACCGTGTACCAGGTGTCCACAAGAGTGACGGGCCACTCTTTATGTAACATGGGGCACACTGGATTGTACCCCGCTACATAGTCAATCCACGCCACCGCGGGTAGACTACCTGAACCTCTCCGAAGTTCGTTACCATGGATAGGAACGACTTCTCCCATATGAACGACTCTCAGTTCGAGTCGGTTCGGAAGATGACAGGCATCTTCGGGATGGAGGCCCTGCAGAGCCTGGTGTGATGCAGTAGAACACACAAATACCGTCAGATGTGGATTCCTTACACAAACCACAACAATTCGCCGAGTTAGGTCAGCGGTTGTATGGCCTGCGCAGAGGGTGGTCCCCTCGCTGCAGCGGGGCTGCCGTAGCTTTAGCGTCAGAGGAAGACGTTCGACTCAAAGAGTCACTAATACTAAGTTCCTTATCCAAAGGACACTTACAGCCCAAGACCAGGGCTCAAAGTTAACACCTTAACTTTTATGCTTCAAAACCAGAAGTGTTTTATTACTATTATGCGGCCAAGCCGCCTAGGGGTAAATGTATCT